TATTTAAAACGTGTAGAATCGTCAGTGGTTTACATGTGTATTTGGCAGTGAATAATCCTGCATTAGAGGACTGAATAATCCTCTACTGCAGTGGTGGTGAGCTGAGAGCCTGCATGACAGAGTGGGCACACAGAATCCTCTCTGTCAGTCACATGAGAGCCGGTCCACCCCAGCATCGCCCAGTAGCTGACAACAGCATAACAGCACACGTTACGGCCCTGCATGTGGTTAGAAAAATCAGTGAATCAGGCTGTGATGTCACGACTTCTTTCAGTCTTTCCATGGCCTGTCAGTACACTGCCAAGGAGATATATGTTGCTTAGACCTGCTGTGAGTTTTAATAGATCCTTTTTTATTAATACAAGATTTTAGCTTTGAGTTTTCTTATAAAAAATGAAATTTAATATCTAAGATTTAGCAAAGAGATACTCTAATTAAAAGACTGAGATTCTTTTAAAGTTGGGCTGCCCCCTGGCATGTTTGAATCTGTAGCATCATATTTAGTTGTTTGTAAAGAATTTATGAAAAAACAGCAAGGATAAATGTGTGTGTGTGTGTGTATATATATATATATATTTACTTGGGTTGGCTGTGATTTTAGCAAATGTCCCCATAAGATAAGAAATGTACTCAGATGTCTTTTGTTAAAGAAGGCCAAAAGCTGTTGGACCATGCAACGTTTCCTCTTGCACTGGTGGTCAGCAAATTCAAGGGAAATCCCACCTGAGAATCACCTTCATAGATTATTAACTCAGAGAATATCCAATATTTTAGTGTTAACTAGTAATGCTAGCTATTTTTGGTATAGGGATAGATTTGTATTGGGTGTTTCATGTTTTAAAAATTTTGTGGTGTTGTAGACTATGAACACCAAAAAACGATTATAGGGGGAAAAAAACTGAAAACAAGTTGGGAAGATCATTCCAAGAGGCCTAGACAGAACCATTTGGAGTGACAGAATACAATAGGGAAGCCATACACGTATTTCATGTGGTGAAAGTGTTGTATGTTACACAGTGTCAGAGAGCACATCTTAAATCAACCACAAAAGTGTTGTGAAACTAGGTGAAACGGAAAGGAAATAGTTTCTTGAAGGGAAATTGAGGAACTATGTTTCCCAATACCTTAATTTTTGCAACTATCTTTCTAAAACAATACATCTGACACTGCCAGCTTTCAAATTTCATTGTACACAGCAAAACATGGTAAGACCCTCTCTGGTGGGATTTTATCAGAATGGCCATGTTGTCTGGGAGTAATTCCCATTTTCATGACATTCCAAACAAGGTTAAAACTATGCAACGCATCTCTGAGATGCCACTTACAAAAATAATGTTAAAGATTGAGTCCTGAGCGTGGTAAGTGATGTTAGTCAATAATCCACCTCTGACTTACGAAAGGCGGCCTGTTATTTCTTATACTTGGATAAAAGATTTAAGTAATTCCGTGAAGGCTGCATTGCCCAGGAGCCTTCAAAGACAAACTTTTTCTCAGGTGAGTGAATCTTTTGCCTAGTGAAGACCCCTTCGATGGAGGACCACTTACAGAGATTAGGCAAGGTTAAGAGAACAAACTAGAGGAAAGGTGTATCTGGAAACTAGCATTTTCTGAAGCCGTTCTTATCCCAGATCTGAAAACTCAAGGAATGAAATAAAAGTGTTGTCAGAACCCACAGCCCTAGAGGAAAAGCCACAGAAGACCTAGTGGAGGAAGGGTGTGCACACTTCCAGAGACAGCACTACACAGGGAGAGACGGAAGAGGAAAGACTCCAGCCTCTCTGCCTTCGCTCTCTCATCTCTTGAGGTGCCTCTTAGTCTCCTCTTAGTCTCCTCACTGGAAACCAGTGACCAAATGCTGCAGTCCGGAGGCCGACCATCTGGGACCTGGCAGGGAAGTATGAAAATGGATAGTGGGCAAGTTGGAAAGGGCAGAAGATAAATGCAAAAGAGCACAAGTCAGACATCCCAGTCCTCTGCTCAAAATCCTCCCAAGGCTTTTCACCTCATTCAAAGCAAAATCTGAAGACCTTGTACTGTCCCTGAAGGCCATCTGTCCCCTGCCTACTCCTCATTCTCTAGCATTGTAGCGGCTGTATGGAATTACTGAAATCCTGCCAGAAACAGAGCATAGATTAAAAGCACAGAGACACTGAGTCCAGACAAAAAGGTTTTTGCAAAAAAAAAAAAAAAAAAAAAAAAGAAAGAAAGAAAAGTGAGAGATGAGGGTGACTTTGTTGCACAGCAAAATGAAGACCTGAGTGCTGAAAATATTTTGAAGGTGAAGTCAACACACTTTGTGTCATATTGCATATGACTTGTGAGAAAAAGAGAAAAACCTCAACTACAAGAGTTTATGTCTCAAGTAACTGGAAGAATAGAGTTATATCTTAACCGGAATGGGGATGCTGCAGGAAGAGTTGTTCAGTTTGGAGGAGAAATTCCCGTGTTCATTTCAGGACATGTAAAACTGGAGAGGGTAACTCATTACTAAGTGGGGAATAGGCCTTTAGCTCCAAGGGAATGGTCCTGTTTGAAAAAATATAAATTTGCGGGTCATTAACCCTTAGTGATATTCAAAGTTAAGAGACAGGGTCACCAAGTCAGTGAGGGCCAACAAAGAAGAGAAAAGCAGCAATTCGAGGACGACTTCAAAGGTTTGGAGATTGGGGAGATGAGAGAGAATGAACACATGGAACAGAGAGGGCCTAACTAGTGACACAGGAGGGAAACCGGGAACTGCTTGTTCCTAGCAGGGGAACAACAAGCTGAGGGTGGAGATTGGTTGGTGGCATTGATGATGTGCGGAGCCTCAGCACCAGCAGACTCCAGGAGTCGGCGTGGTTGAAGGTCCAAGAGAGAACTAGAGGGTGCACATAGGTATTTTTTGTGGGTGGGAGCATTGGCATTTTCATGGCTGGATTTGGCTCCCTGGGTGTTGTCACATATCTCCCCAGGTCCTCCCAGACTGACCTAGCTATCAGGAACACAAGCTCAAAACCCCTGCTGTGCCTCTTTCTTTTCTTTTTTACAATTTTTTATTTTAAAGAGATTAAGACAAAAGAGGACATAACAAAGCATATCAGATCAGAACAATGCAAGTAACAAAGCATTTTACCACAAGACAACCCACCCGTAATTAACAGTAACTACTATAATGTCTCTTTCTTTGAAATAGTTGAGCATAGCTTCATATACGATAGTATCAAACATAACAAAACAGTATAAAACCATTGAAGAGAATGGAAGCATTACAGGGCGTTCAGAACCAAATAGCAGAGAATGAACAATGGCTACTATATTATCTCATTTTCCATAGAAAATTTGTTATACTAACACCCATAATAATATCCAATAAGATATAACAGGATAGAACCAAAGGAAACAGAAAAACAAAAGCATAATAGGACTTCAGAGTAAGATGATACTAAATCAGCACTGGCTATACTTTTATACTATCACAGATAATAAAATCAAACAAACTAGGATAAAACCATTCCAACTAATGAATACAGACATTATAAGGCTTCAGAGCAATGTAATGGGGAATCATGATTACCATAAACTCTTACGTACTCTTACCATTTCTTATACTATGGAGACTATTCAGTATTTATACATGTGAGTTTGATTTATTTCACTTATGGGTATGGTCTCAAGTTGCATCCATTTATTTATAAATATCTCAATGTGATCCTTCTTTATAGCTGAGTAGTACTCCATTGTACAAAAATACCACAGCTTTTTTATCCATTCCTCAGTTGATGGACACTGTGCCTCTTTCTTACTAAGGTTACTGAGACAGCTCCTTCCTTTCTTCCTTCCTCCTTCCTTCCTTCCTTCCTTCCTTCCTTCTTTCCTTCCTCCTTCCTTCCTTTCTTTTTTTCTCTTCCTCCCTTCCTTCCGTTTTTTCTCTTTTTTGAAAAGATAAAATTTAACACGTGGTTACACCTATTATGGGCGATTATACACGTACATAAGACACTGTAACTCTTTTTCATCCCCTTTTAACTCTTGGTCCCCTTACCACTTGAAAAAGCTCTTTCATTTTTTAAAACTCTCTTTTTTAATCCCTTACCCTTCCCTCTCTCTCACTCTCTCCATCTCTTGTTCCCCTTCTCATTCAAAAAAGATCTCCCTATTTCTTACCATCTATCTTACAATTTGCCTTTTATTTCTATTTTCAATTGCTCATACAACAGAAAACATACAATATTTATACTCATGTGTCTTCCTCATTTAACTTAACATTATGGTCTCAAGGTACATCCGCGAGGCATCCAGGGTGCATTTTATAAAGATTAAATAAGGTAATTAAATGAGGTGCTGAGACCTACAGCTCTTCTTGTTATTTTCACATTTCACATCTGGTGTTGCGCGTGGCTCTTCCTTTCCTGTTGTCTTTCATCAGATGAGCCCTAATTTAACACGCTGTTTTAGTTTTTTCACGTTTTATACTCCAGAAGTATAAAGATCTTGTAGGTTCCTAAACGTCGGGGGTTTAAATTTAGGAAGTGCCATGAACAAGGACTTCCACTAGGGGGCAGGCAAGGAAAGAGGGAGGAGAAGTATAGACATTAGTCAAGACTGCTGGTTTGACAGATGTCATACATTTCTCCCAAACACAGATGGAGACAGGAGTCAGTCTAGGGTTTTTGAGAGGAAGGGAGGAGTGAGGAAGAGAATGAGGGAGAAGCAGAACAACAAGGAGAACGAGGAGGAGAGCAAAGAGGGGAGGAGGAGGAAGAAAAAGAGAAATGAGGAGGAGGAGGAGGAATTACAACTCAGTGAGTTTAGTATGCAGCAGAAGAAAGGCCAAAATGCATAGGATATAAAAAGCATGGAAATATGGAGAGAGAAAAGAAGGAAAAATCTAACCAAAGTACATTCTAATCTGCAGCTTTTTTCTTAGGGGAGGTGATAGAAACCTGTCTAGAGCAGGGGTGGGGGACAGAGGAGAGAGAGGAGGAGGAAGGGGAGGAGGAGGATGTGAGAGTGAGGTAGAGAAATGAAAACAAGCACATCTTGTGGGTGGCACTTGGGACAATCTTCCTGAAGCACAGCAGCTCCCCTGCACAGGGACCCAGACCCCCCAGAGGCTGAGCAGAGAGAGCTGCAAGGCTGCAGAGACACTGGAGAAGAACCAAGCAAAGCCATGGTGAGCTTCCAGCCTATATAATTTCCAAAAACTCAGATAGAAACACTTCTTGGAGTTGTGGAGTCAGGCTGCATGGGAACAAATGGCAACCATATCATCTATGGTTTTAAAAATAGTAGGAATAAAAAATGCTCTTGGAGCCTCACAAAAGCCATCCTAGAATCTCTCCTCTCAAGTGTGTGTAATGTCCATCCCCTGACAATGTCTCTGGTGAGATTCTACTTGTGCAGCAAAACATAGCAGCTGCCTGGAAAATGATGTGTTTCAGAAAGTATGGTTTACAGTTTGCGTAAAATCTGTGGTTTTTCTCAATTGAGTTGCCTAAAAATGTAGTTCTTACTTGGATCAAAATGAACTATTTTTCTTTCCTGGCCCCTGTTTGCCTATTTAAGTCTTTTAGATATTCAAGGCATTGACTCATCATGATCAAGAATGAAGATAATACTAAATCTAAACATTTCAAAAGCATCAAAAACACTTTTTAAAATAAGCATACCAGATGTTAAGTAGTTCTATCTGAAGGCTGAACAGAAAAGTAGGTACAAAAATTTCCCAAGTACAGAAAAACAACAAAGTAATAATCACCTGCAACTTGATACTAAAAAATGGATTCAAAACTATGTACCAGTTTTGGGATAAATTTGATGCAATTTTAAAATTTATATCAGAGAACATTATTACCTTGAATAATTAGTAGACTATTGTGTTGTGTTTTGAAATTTAAGAAAGTTGTAGGCACCACCTCATGGTGCTATGCGTTTGTGGTTTACAATCTAAATATCCTTTTGTATTTTATTGCATATATTTCCATGGAAATGTCAGAGCTCTCCAATTGGCTTATGGAAGATCTTCAAGTTGTGGATCTGGGCAGTGTTCTGTTGTGGTATGTTGTGATATTTGTATATTGCTAAGAATTTTTAATGGAGGATCACTTTTCTTGAATATCCATCAAGAGTAAACATTTGTAGGGAAAACATTAAGTAGACAGTTGCAATTCTATACTTTCTACGAGCATCTCTTTTCTTCCTCTTACCTCTAGCATTTCCCTGGAACCCTCTCATCCTACCTTTACCTGTCATACTCCTTTCCAGGCCCAAATCCTGATAGTTTCAGAAGGTTTCAACTGTGAAGGGGTACAGTCAATTAAGAAATATCTCAGAGAAGGACTTCAGCCAAAGCAACAACTCAGGCCACACTTTACTTTAACTAACCCACTGTGAGCCATTTTGAGTTGACTGTTGGGTGTCTTAAGAAATGTTTGATGTGCTATAAGGTTTGGGTTGTTTACATGTGGGTATCCAGCTGTTCCAGTACATTTATCCTTTCTCCATTTAATTGCTTTTGCATCTTTGCCAGAAATCAATTGTCTGTTATGTGGGTTATTATTTGGAGACTTCATATTGGTACTTTGGTGGTTTGTGTATCTTGATATCAATGCCATTTTGTCATGATTGGTGCAACTTTATGATAAGTCGTGGGGTTGGAGCTCTACTTCTGTTCCTTTATCAGAGTTGTTTAGACTTTTCTGAGTCTTTTGTATTTCTACAGAAATGTAAGAATCAAAATATTAATCTTTATGAAAAATGATGTGGGCATTTGGATAAAAATAAGAAATCTCTCATGAGGTCTTTATAATCTGTACCAATTATTTAGTACTCCATTTTCTACTAATTTATTGTCAATCAGTGGAATTTCCACAGCTGTATTCTAGTTCCTTAAGGTAGGGGATTATAATTGTTTTGATCCTTCTTCCACTGATGTTACAAGTCTTGGGTCTGAGTCCTAAAGACTCTCCAGCAATTCCTTTGACTTCTTTACTATTTCTTGAGTAAGCTAGTGTCTTCTTACTTTCTTGGATTTTCAGTTCTGACTATGCAAACGCACCTACTATGCGCTTCATTCTCAGTGTGATTTTTAAAAAAAACCCGTAGTGAATGTTAAATTAGAAACAAATTATTACAGTAAAAGACATGTTATTATTCCCCCTCAAAATACCACTCCCAAAATATTTCCAACACACGTGTCCTCTCATTCTTCCCACTTTTCTAAGTAGTTCTGGAAGACTTCTTTGTGCCTGCCTTCAGCTGCATCATTGTGGCTGACTCACAAATCTATGCAAACGGTATTTCATGATCCCTTTTGACTTTGAGGAAGAGCCAGAAGTTGCATAGTGCCCAGTCCAGTGAATAAGGTGAAAGATGACACACTGTAAGATCTTTACAAGCTGCCTTCACGTGGATGGGATTTGGCAGCAGCAGTCAACATATTGTGATCAGACCTTTTATTTTTTTATTTTTATTTTTTTGGTGGGGAGCAAAGGCTTTATTTCCAGGCCTGGTGGTACAGTCTCTCTAGGGTCAGATCAGACCTTTTAAAGACACTCAAGAAAGAAGACTTCCACAACTGCTTCAGAAAGTGACAAGAACAATAGGATAAGTGTGTGTGTGTGTGTGTGTGTGTGTGTGTATGTGTGTGCACGTGTGAGACGGGAAGATTATGAGGGGCATTAAGGGCAGTGTGTCTTTTACTGAGATACATTTTTAAAATTTAAACATTCTCCATAATTTTCAATCACCTCTTACACATCCTCTATCGCGTGTCAGCCCGTGTCTATGGGAACCAGGCATTATTTTCATTCAAGTGTTTCCTGAGTCTCTCTTACTTTCAGTTTTATGTATTGAGGATACAGTAGTGGCCACACAGTTTATTTCACGCTAGAACTAACATTTTAGGGAATGGCACTTTTAAAATCGTGTTTATGATGAGATTGTAGGATACTCTTTGTTCATTAATCGTATGTTCCTAGTTCTCTGCTCATTTCTATAGTATCTGATCTGCTTGACATTAATTATCTTGTGTTTGCATCTGTTATTCCTTGTCCAGAAACCTAAAGATCAGAAGGTCTGAGCTTCACCTCAGATCTGCAAACAGCGGGCTCTGGGGTCCGGTCTCTCTGTTCTGTTCCTCATCTCCCAGGGATGGGCTCACCGGGCTGGTGCTGAGATGTCACCCGCTATGCTGATGTCTTACAGATTTCCTGGTACATCATGGAACTCACTGTTGGACTTACCATTATTCCAAAAATTCCATGATATGGGACAGGGCTAGGAAATTCTGCCAGGCAAATTACACGGATTTAGTTGCCATCCAAAACAAAGAAGAGATCGAGTACTTGGAGAAGACACTGCCCTTCAACCAGAATTACTACTGGATAGGCATTCGGAAGATAGGGAATAAGTGGATATGGGTGGGAACCAGAAAGCCTCTCACTAAGGAAGCAGAGAACTGGGGAGCCGGGGAGCCCAACAACAAGAAGTCCAAGGAAGACTGCGTAGAGATCTACATCAAGAGGCTCAAAGACTCGGGAAAGTGGAATGATGACTCCTGCCACAAAAAGAAGGCAGCACTGTGCTACACAGGTGGGTGACCACGCCCACTGCTACCTCCTGCCCAGGGCCACCAGGGGTGGGACAATCTGAGCGAGCTGCGGGAGGGCTGGGTGAGGCAGCATTTGCTGCTTCTTCTAAAACACTGCCTGTCCTGGAAATCATCTGGAGTCTGTCAATGCCGAGCATTTCTAGTGTATAAAGTTGGCCTCTAGACCCCTGCATTCGGTTGCACCAAGGTGATTGGCCCGTTGGGTGGGAGATGGACAGGAGGAGCCGGACAGCCAGGGCTCTGGGTGGACACGACTTGGGGCCAGTTCACAGCTTGCATTCATACTGCCTGCTCCCTCCTTGTGGAGTACGAGATTTGTGCTGGAGGTTTTTGAATTCCGTAAAGCAAAATATTGCACTGTCAGCGTATGACAATTTATTTCTGAACAAACTATTACAAAATTCTAACACAATATTTTTCCTAGTCATATTTTAACAGTGAAATTGGATCTTACTACTTTAGAATTTTGGATGTTTTAATCTTAGTACTTTCTGTAAAGAAAGGGATTATTAAGTAGAATGTAGAAATGATTGAGGTCTGGTCATAATATGCTTATTATATGAAAAACAAATAATTTCAATAGTTTCCATATACACCTCTATGTGTCCCCAAAATGTTACACTATTATTGTCAGTAAATTTATTCTAAAGTAAATAAATACCTGTGGCCATATGTCTAGTATGGTTCACAAGTAAAAATTTTAGCACATGACTCTTATGCAAAAGTACTATGTGAATGCATGAAAAAAATCCTTCCTGTTTATTAAACTTGTCTCCAACAAAAGGCTAACTACGTCTAAGGAAATGACGGTGAATACTAAAATGTAATAAATTTTTCTGGCCTTGTTAAAGCTTCTTGCACACCAAGCTCCTGCGGTGACCACGGAGAATGTGTGGAAGTCATCAATAATTACACTTGCAACTGTGAGGTGGGATATTATGGGCCCCAGTGCCAGTTTGGTAAGTCCCTTTCCTTTGTTTCTCCCTACACAAAGGCACAGGAATCATCGTAACTCATGTTAGAAGTTGGTTGGAACAAAATGATACTAGCCGTTTTGAAAAATGGGAGGTTTTAATTGGAGTCACGCTTTCACAATGGCTTTCTGTAATGATTTTACAAGTCAGCATGAAAGTCTGATGAAAATCACTTCTCAAGTTTTTGGGGGAGGGGTTAGTTTTGCTTTGTTTTGAGTACCACAAAGAATAAGCTGGTCACAATAAGAAATCAGGTATGATAGATTCCCACTCTCACAGAGCTCCCAATCTAATGAATATCCTGCCTTACTGAGAATTCTAAAACCTAAAGAAATTATACCATTTATCATTAGAAGGGTGAATTGACCCAGAAGGTAATTTTGCTTTTTTATAGAAAGTCATTTCATGTAAAGACACACAGTACATATCAGTGCTATGTAACAAATTCCACACATTTATTTGGGCCAGATATTTAGGAGTATACAAAGGTTAATCTATTTTTGATTCTTCCCTTAAAGTAGTTTGAGTTAATGAATGAAAATTCTGTATGTTCATGGTTGAGTTTGGTGGAAAGCCGACAACTTTCGGAGTACACTTGAGGAGACTGGAGACTGCCAAATGGAGGAAGCTGGCCTTTATTTGGCAACGACACATCACTCTCTATTTAGTACTGGCATACAATTATTCTAGAAACAGCAAATAGGATAGATTGGAAACCAAAAACGAGAAGGTGGAGAGGTCCCTGGAAACCTTTTGAAATCATTCAGAGCCATGATGGTAGAAATGGAGAGAATGCAAAGTCAGAATCTTGACCCAGTCAGCCATGACTAAAGAAAGCATTAGCTCCTGTAATTGATGTTGGTTGGGTTTCAAAACTACAATGAATCTGGTGCATAAAAAATTTTAGCAAGTTTGCAAGAAATAAAGACTTAAAGCCAGGATAAATTTAAACGTCAGCCAATGGGATTAGGTCAAATGTACTTCATTTAAGCCTTGATCCATGACTATAACTCAATACATTACCCCCAGGATTTAAAAAAAATCCTTATATCATGGATATGTCAATTTCACTCCTTCTAAACATTGTCTTCTTCCTCACCTCCACCTCTTCCTCTTCCTGCTTCTTTTGTGTTTCCATCACACTATTCTTTTCTGGTTGTATTTTCACCTGTGATCATTTCTCCTGGTTTTCTTTATAGACACTTAAAGCTCATAAAGCTCATAAACTAGTATTAATTCTCAGCTTCTGTCTTGTCTATGGTTTTTCTAACTTTTTGTGGTTCCTTAATCAAACTTACTGACAATTGTGGTTTTATAAATATGTGTGATCACTGGGCTGACAAATCTGTCTCCTCCCAAATATGCTAACATTACCCTGAAGGAGGTCCAAAAAATGATAAAGTCCATTGCCCCCAGCCACCTTTCCCTTTTGTGTTTTTATCTCAGTATGTGGAATTACCCTTTACATGGGCTTATGGTGTGTGACTCTCACCTCTTCTGACGTTTGGGCAAGGCCCCATATTTCAACTTTTATAACATTTCTCTAATCTGTCTCCTACTTGTCAGCTATAGTACCTTGCCATGATTGTCTTTCTCCTGAATTATTGCAGTGGTGTCCTAGATGAGCTCCACAACTTTAAATCAGCTCCCCTCCCACGCATTACCCCTACCATAGGCAGGCTGATCAGCTTAAAACAACACACACACACACACACACACACACACACACACACACACACACACTCAGTCTTTAATTTACACACATCATTGTCCTACAAGATGAAATTTAAATTCCTTAAGACCTAGAGCAATACCTGATATATACTAGGAATTCATAAATCAGTAAAAATGAAAAATGGATTTGGTCTTAGCTCCTATCTTTTTCACTGATTATAATTCACATTCTTTCCTGCCTCCTCTTTCCTTTTAGGAATACTTAAGAGTTCTCCACCAATCACATATACTTTGTATATAATTGATTTTGCTTCTAGCCTTGTCTCTCATTGTGTACATGACTACTACACCTTTTCTCTTTAAAACTTATTACTGGGATCATTTCTTCCAGGGTTATTCCTTTGGACCCCAACACAGGCATGTGTCTATCAAGTGGCAGAGCTAGGATTCAAATCCAGACATCAGATCTCCTTAACCACTACCAATATTTTTCCTTTCTTTACTCAAGTGGTCCAGTGTCCACCTCTGGAGGCCCCAGAACTGGGTACCATGAAGTGTACTCACCCTCTGGGAAAATTCACCTTTAGCTCACATTGTGCCTTTCACTGCTCTAATGGAACAAACCTAATCGGGATGGAAGAAACAACTTGTGGACCATCTGGAAACTGGTCATCTCTAGAGCCAGCCTGTCAAGGTGAGTGACTTCACGTGTCACATTGTCATGATGAACCTGTTCTACAGTCTGAAAAAGTGTTGAGGAATCTTGCTAAGAAGGTTGTAAGTCCTTCTGGAACAGAATTTAACCTAATTTAAATTACACTCTGATGTTTTTAGAGGAGTTTTGCTTACTAAAATTGAAAAAAAAGCTTCCAAATGAAAATACAGTCAAGTCCCTTAGTCCTGACTGGCAGTCTACAACATAATTTGTAACAGTTCAGTGTACTTACTGTGTTTTCCTTATTTTTCTACTTGCTGTGGCATACATAATCAGTCTTGCTGAATCTCTGTTAAATTTTGGTGACTCTTTTCTCAATAACACCTATTTTATGTGGTGTCCTATTTAAAAACAACTGATTTCCTTCTCAGAGGGTATAGGCCTGTCTTGTTTTATTTGGTGTATTCTTAAAATCATCTCATTCTTTTCCTCTCACATGAACTCTCAGGAGAATAACAACCACCATGAAAAACAAAACCAATTTGTCTTTATAAAAACTTGGAATATAGTAACATCCTTTACCTTTCAGCTGCCCAAATCATCCCTTTGTAGAAGAAAATGTGTAGTGTCTGCCCTTGTGAGGTCTTGAAGTCATTTTCTGCGTTCATGCCCTAATTTATCAGTTTAAATAGTTTAACTCAAAAGAAATATCAAAAGAAACCCACCTGCCTAATATTTGCTTCAGAGAATTAAGATGTTTTTTAAGAAATTCCTAGCTAGACTTTACAATATCATGTACACCATCATTCTCAAGAAGGTCACGTCTGGGAGCAGTATCACAAAGGAATTCTGCCAATAAGGAGTTTCTAGATTCATGTAAATGGTTCCATGGTTAAGTCAACCCATTGTAACTAAAAATCCTTTGGTCAAGAGAAGGTCTTTGATCAGAAATATTATTTGGTGTTGTTTTGCTTTTTTTTTTATTGCAGCAATTCAGTGTGAACCTTTAATAGCACCTGATTTGGGGACCATGGACTGTAGCCACCCTCTGGGCAACTTCAGCTTTACCTCTGTGTGTACCTTCAGTTGTTCAGAAGGAACTCAGCTAATTGGAGAGAATAATGCTACTTGTGGACCATTTGGAATGTGGTCTGGTCATAGTCCAGTATGTCAAAGTAAGTAAGTTTGCTCCAATATTCTGAAAACTTAGCAGATTCTAGGAAATACTAACTTTCAAAGATCATCTTGTGAAACACACATGGCTTATATGCATTACTTTATATTAAAGCCTCTGTTGTGGTCTCTTTCTTGAATGACAGCCATTTTTAACTCTTTCCACCTTAACTCTTAAAATCTAAACCAACCATTTCTGCTGATTTTATAGTGCATTTCTCATCCATTCTTCTATTCCACTACAATATGGCTTTCCTGTTAGATCCCTGAAATGCCTCTGTAAGGTTACCCATGGCCACCTACTTCTCAAAACAATGGTATGTTTCAATGATCATTAAGCCCATGTCTCACAAAGCTGTCTCTGGTTAGGATCACGTCTTCTTATCTCTGCATACCCTCCATCTGACAGAGTACTTGGTGACTGGTACTACAATAAATGCATGTTGAAATAGCATATGAAAGAATAGCTGTCAGCGTCCGCCCCTGAGCCACTGCATAGATAACCGAATTCTTGAAGTGGTGCCATCTGTAGAAGTTGTCAGAGAAGCTGACCTCCATGTATGTGGAACAAAGTGGGGAGCAGAGAGACAGGGGAGTCCTTTAGGGGAGGACTTTGGTCAGCTCTGTCGGGTATGTACATTTATTTTTAAGGCCTGGCTAGTGTCCATTTCCTCATCTTTGTCAAGCCTACAGGTGCCTCTGTGTGCCTCTAGAACTTGAGCCTCCACTGTGCATCTGAGTGTGGGAATGGAAACACCTTGAAAGGAAAAAGCAGCATGAAGAATAGGGGTCCTATGCTAATAGGTAGAAGTGGATTTCTTCAACTGAAGGCATCACAAAGCAGATTTTTTCTTTTCTTGTTTAGTAAAAGCCTACGAATGAACTCAAGTTACACTCCCCAAAGGGCATGCAAATGTGTCTCTTTGCTAATTTGTGAAGAAGACCAGTAGGACTATACTATCTGATAGATCAGTACAATTCTTGGCACATAAACAAGTGCTTATTTTTGCACCATTGCTTTATAAACAAACAGGGTAAACAATACTGGCTTCCTTTGATTGACAAATTACCCAGTTCAGAACACTGATTTTTCTTTTTCCTAAAGTTGCATTAGAATTTCCAGATCTTCTGCATGAAGTTTGAGCCACTGAGCCAGACTGTGGAGCCAAACACATTAATGACCACTTATTACCAAGATTTTTAGCCACGGTCCCAGGATTGTTTCTGGATGATAAATCTAGGGGTTCCATAGGCATTAGGCTAGAGGCTGGCCCAGTTTTTGTCTCTTTTGTAGACTTCTCTTGGGAGTTTTCTCATGTGCTAAGTGGCATCAAATAGGCTAACGTTGGGAGGCATCAGAAGAAAAACATCAAAACCATGAGCTGGGCTAAAGAAATATGCATAATCTTATGTTGTGTGCTTTGTTGATTTCTCTTTCAGAATTGGACCAAAGTTTCTCAAAGATCAAGGAAGGTGACTATAACCCCCTTTTCATCCCAGTGGCAGTCATGGTCACTGCGTTTTCCGGGCTCGCCTTTATCATCTGGCTGGCAAGGCGACTAAGGAAGAGTATGTGAATTTAACTTCATATGAAAATAAACCAACTTTAAAGTGAGAAAAGAAAGAAGCCCACAGGAAATTAGGTGCAATAGATTCAACTGAAGCTGGTGCCAAGCTTTCCGATCTATAGACTTCAGTCCCTGGAGACATGTAAATTAGTCAGAACACACCTTCACTAAAGCAAGCCAGCTGCCTTTTGCTTCTCGTTAGGCAAACCTTTAAAAAAAAAGACCTATTATTTGCAAGGCACCTTGCTAGGGGAATAATAGCTAAGTGAGACATTCTAATGGTTCTTTGTTCTTAATTTTGAAAAAAGGATGCATAATCTCTGTCTCCTAAGACCCTGTTTTTGATTTATAAGTAAGAGTCTAAGGTCCACTTAGGTTTTCAAGATACTTCTCTCAAACACCTGGCCTCTTTAGAGTCACCTACTGGCCTGCCTCCTAACATGTATAGGTTGCATGTGTTCTCTGTGATGTCACCAAGACCACAAGGCTTTCCCTCCACTCTGGACTGGAGAAGGAAAGGAAAGCAGAGGACTGTCTTGAGTCATTATTTGCTGTTTAGACAATAGGTGGAATAACACCAGAGAAGAACATGGCATTACTGCCCTTCCCTCCCCACTTGGTAGACCCGTGACCTAAAGTGGGAGCAGTCTTTCAGCTACAGGCCCACAGTCTGCAGCAGGCTTTGAGGTGTACCAACACATTTGGCTGAACTCATTATAAAATTCATAGACATTGGGCAGTTTTTAAGATACCCTGTTTCCAGTTCAGGGGCCACGGATGACTTCAAAACATTTGCCAACCTTTCTGTGTCATTCATTTTTTGCCATGTTAATGCCCCTTCCATGGCTGAGTTAGTACGGATTGTATTCACTATATATGAGAGTTAAAGGCTTCCCAGCCCATATGCAGTGGTAATGGCAGAAATGTTACCTATTAATCCTTTCCCTGAGTGATAATGGCAAAACTGAGAGGGTAGAGAATAGGAGTAATTGCAAGCTAATCTCTGGGAGCAGGTGGCTATTCCCTCAATAATTTTGAGGGCTGCAGGGCTGTAAATCATCTTAATAGGGAGGAGGTTTATTTCAAAATTCCATATCTTTTAATAAGAAGTTTGTCGAATCAAGAGCACTGAGCCAGTCATGTATGTTTAGTGAGGAGTTAGTTGTCTAAAGTTGTTTTATATATAAGCAGGGTAAGCAAAGCACAGAGTTGTTTTTAACCTTTTTACCTTGGAGTCATTTCTGTACAAGATCTCAAACTGATAACCTGAAAACTACCATGCCCCTTCCGTGAGAATCAGTGTGGGGCAAACAGGAAGCAGATAACGGGCACTGAGGGTAGTTACAGTTGTGTGCCACCAAGAACAGATGCCTCAAAGATCACTAACTGTAGGAAGGTCAGGATGACACTCAGGTAACTGTGGGTGTCTTCATGTGTGAAACTTCTACCACTGCTCCAACTTCCAAGTCAATGACTTTGTCTTCCAAAAGTCTTATTTGTAAGTTGGTTCTTTAAACCTCGAAGAGGATTTTTCCTAGAGAGACAATGTTAAAAATGATGGCTAGGTTCCCATCGTGAATTTATGGAGTTTAGCCAGCTCATTGACAGGAAAAATGTGAAAAATAATAAATAGAATTTATAAGTTAGTATAATTTAAATATATTCATACATAATAAATCTGCATATATATAGCGTTCCTCTCTTAGGAGAATTTCATTGGCTTATCGGGTTTAGAAAGTGGAAGGGGACAGGTGGAAATTCACACCTTGGGAGCCAAAGAAGTGACATGAACTTGTGCCCTCTCCTTCTGTCCTTTAAATAGAGAATGGATCCTCCAAACCTAGCATCTGAGTCCTTCCCTAGTAGTCCTGGTATCCAGACTTTAGCTCCCTTCTGGGCAGAAATAGGCACCATAAATTTGACTCTCACTTGGCCCATCTAGGTACATATGTTTTTGGTTCACGCATCATCGTTCTTAAGTAATCATCACCATCGGCCCTATTTGGTAAAAAAAAAAAAAAGGAGAATTGGATGATGATGTTTGAAGCTTAATCTATAATCCCTTATCAATGGTGGCCAGAGTCAAAAGTCAGACTCCAATCCAGGTTTGCTTTCTAAAGTACCAATCTTCTTTTATTTTTTTGGTTCTTGCTTAGTATTTTATTTTATTTTTATATTAAAAAGCAAAACAGATAAAAGGATAGAAATGATACAGAATTTCAAAAAATAGGGCAAAGTAACATTAGTTAATATATTGCCTATATATGTGTATATGTATGCAAGGTAGATAACTATACTAATAATCTCTGTTAGTTCATCCAAAAGAACAGTTTGTGCTGTCATTGTTGGATTGATTTGATTCTTTGTGCCTAGATCTTGTAACCTGAACAACTACTTCTAAGATAATAGTCTTCAGATTCTTAAGACTGTTTTGGGTTGTTTTTTAACTTGGTTGGAAGAATTTTCTACATGAACCAACAACCAGGGCAAGAACAGGGCGTGAAACTAAATGCAGGCCCTGTTAGTTCCCTTTTCTTCAAAAAGAAACCTTCTGAGTAGGAACAGAGTTCTGTAATCTATTGTTATTTGCTTCATTGTTCCCAAAGGGGAGAAAAAAAATCTGTATTTCTAGGTAGATAAAGAAATGGGAACTGAAGTTAATTCATACTTGGTTCTTCCTAAGTGTTGTTTGTTCATGTCAGCAGCAGTCTGAGTTTAGGAAGAAAAGTTTAAAATAGTAATTTCAAACACTTTTAAGGGTTAAAATAGAAATTGAGCTCTAAGTTCTTGGCCCTGGCCTAAATTCTTTTAGTACATTTTCTTTTATTAATCAACAAGGAGGATATAGTTATTTTGTCTCTCCTTTTTCTTTTTGAGAGGGTGTATACTGGGGACTAAGCCCAGAGGCTTGCTCATGCAAAGCAAACCCTTTACCACTGAGCTACATCCCCACCCTTTTTATAAAATTTTAGGGGCAGGGTCTTGCCTATGCTGGCCTCCTTAAACTTGTGATCTCCTGTCTCAGCCTCCTGAGTAGCAAGGGTTACTGCTTTTGGTTTATTACATACCTTAATAGATGAAGAATTATGGCCCTTAGAGGAAATGTATTTGTTCAAAGATGCACCACACTGCAGGTGGATAATTATGGTCTTCACCTAGGTGTGATGATTCTAGAGAACCAAGTGACAGCCACTGAAATATACTGCCATTCAAATGGTCTTTCTCATCAGAATGTCTCTCTCTCTCTCTCTCTCTCTCTCTCTCTCTCTGTCTTTGTCTCTCTCTCTCTCTTTGCTTTGCTTTCTTCTGTACCTCAACTCTGCTGTCATTCATTAATATATTTATTTGTATTTTGCTTTTTTCAAAAAGAATGTATGATGTTTACAGAATGCATTCAGCATAGCAAATTGGAAGTAGCTAAAAAGCAAGAAAAAGAAAGCAAAAACTTGGGGCACAAAAAATAAGTTGGAACCAAAAATTAAGTAGGTTACAGAAACGCCTGTGACAAACAGTCCTATATGTGTGATAGGTGAGGGGATCAGGCTTGAATCTGTGTTTCCTTGCAGCCAGTTCAAAAGGAAAACATAACCAGTCATGTTAGTCATTGTTTGTACGTTGAAAATAGGGCAGTTACTTAGATCATGTGCCATTCCTGATAATGAGACCAGAGTGAAATTTTCCTGTGAATTTCACATAGAGAAGACGCTGAGAAATGTTATGACACATTTTCTTACAGTATTAGCAGCTGATTCCTTTAGGGAAGCATTTTCAGGTAGGATGAGATGTGGGATAAACATGCTAATGGGAAGCTTGGGGCCGAGCACCAGGCAAGTCAGCTGAGATGTCTGACTTCATGACCAGCTCAACAGTGACAGGGAACCTAAGAGGCACAGGCATTAACGTATCTGTTCTACTGCAGTAACTATCACTGTTGGAGTTAAAAGATTAAGCCAGTACCCCAAACCCTTTAGATACAGATGAAGGTCTATCTAACAAATGTGCAGTGCATTTCAGAAAAGTTTTGAGGTTAAGAGATCCCTTATTTTAAAAATTGGTATTGTGTATGTTTTACTGATTCTGTTTCTCTATTTTTTTTCTACTTTTAGGAAAGAGAGCTCAGAAAAGGTAAGTAAATTTTACAGGTGAAGAGTTTCCATCTCTGTTGATGCTTTGCTTATTTTCCTTAGGGTTTGTCATAGCTAGACACATTGACCCATGATCAGTTATTAACTTGGGAATCTCATCTAAATGAAGTTTCCAAATAAAGTGATAAATCAGTAGCTCCCTGCAAAGCTCTGTTTTTGGTCTAGTAGAGCTGAATAAATGAATAAATGTACATGTATCAAGAAGGAGCAGTTTATGTAAAGGGAGCTGTTCTTGATTGTTTCCAGTTTTTTTGAGGATTACAGGCTAAACAGACATGAAGGACCTACACATAATAATTGAGAAGTATTTGTTGAGAACTAATGTACCCTAGACCATGAGAAGAATGTACAACCCCACATCACAGACTCAGCAATGTCTAACACAGAAGGGCAAATTATTATTACCCTAACTCTAATTTAACCTGGAGAAATAGTATCTTGCAGAAATGAAGATGTTAAAATATTTTGTTTTATGAGTTTAGTGACATGCTTTAAAACTTTAGCAAGGAGTGTGTAAGTAAAGAGAACTGTCATGATGCTCTTTGGTGATATATTGAGTATCCAGCTGGATAACTGATTTTTTTTAATGCTGAAAATGAAGCAAGGGGTTTCTTGAAGAGGTTGAGCACTTGTTCTGACAACTATCCTACCAATCACAAATGATCACTTAGTAAAACTTAATTTAATGAGCTGGAGCTCAGGGTGAGAAAGAGGGACCCAAAATCAGATCTTAAAGTCATGATCAACCATATTAAGGTATACTGAGTTCCTCGAGTTCTTGGTGATATTACTAATGAGGTCAGTGTGGGTCACATCTGTCTCCTATCAGGGTTACTGCATAACAGTAGAAGAATCATGGGAGTGGGGTGAGTCTGGAGGCAAAGAGATTGTTTTGGATGCACTTGAAGTTATTAGACTAAAACTGTCTCGAGAAATTATGGAGAGACTGGGTTCATGAGATAAGAAGTAGAATCAACTGAATGTGGATCTTAATGGAGAAGAGAAGGGAGGGAGGAAAGACAGAGAGACAGAGACAGAAACAGAAACTGAGATTACTGTGTTTCTAACTTGAGAATTGGTGGTGGTAGTATTACTTACTGCCTAGAAAGGAACATAAATGAGATATTTTGGAGGTGTTGAGCTGTGATTCGGCTGTGGTTGGATTTATTTACAGCACAAATCCTACCTTGGGGCAGGAGACATGGACTCGAGTTTCTCCTATTTCAAGAGGTCACAGCCACCCCAGCAGTGTGTATGATCATCCAGAGAACATACGCATTTGAGAATGGAGAAGGATGTGGGAGAGGATGGGAACCAGAGTGACATCAATGTCCAAATCAGCATAGGAAAAGGAGAATGGAAAGAGCTGCCCAGAGAGGAAACAAGATGGGGAAGAGCCAGAAAACGCATATGCCAGGGAAAGGAAACGGAAATAGTCTCCAGTAGGGTCAGGAGAACCGATGTGTCTAGTGGGTATAACTAGGGTGTCCATTGGGAGACCACTTCAGGTGCAGACAGAAGCCAGATGTCAAAAAGTTAAGAAATTACTCCAGATGAGAAAGCAGAGGCAGAACATATAGTCGTCTGTTTAAGAAGTTTGGCTATGAAGGGGAGGAGCAATGGGGGCATAGATGGAGGCATAGGGCTTTTTATTCTGTTACCTTATCTTCTTTTTAATTGTATAGATGGGGTATAATTGTATAGGAAGAAAGGGGTCCCTTTTTGGAGTTGGCCTCTCTATTTTTGTGGCAGGAAACCCACAAGATACAAAGGTTTCTTTCATGCTCACACTCACTGAGTGAAAGTCTTTCCTGATACAATCTTCCCAGATCTGTTTTCAGGTCACAGGAACCACCTATTTTAACTGCTACTAGATGGAAGCAGATTAAAAAATCCAATTTTTTAGTGTCTTTGATGGACAAGAAGAGATGCCTCACTGGAAGGATATTAGCATCAAATTAGTTACCATATTAAGCAAATTACCACATTAACTTTAACGATTCACTGATTTATACAATGAATGACTTAATCATTGTTTATTGAACAGTTTTGTGTTAGAACAATGCCAAGCTTGATTGAGACAACAAGAAGAGTATGCTCTTGTCCCTAGTGTGAGAGATTGCTATCTTGTTGGGAAGTTAAGACTGAAATACAGGATAAGAAAATTAGAAAAGCACAAGGCAGAGGATGGTAATCACTAAGGAATCTTGCCCTGGTGAAAAGAAGGATCCCCCTAGGCTTAGTGATCAGAGAACAATCTTATAAAGGAGGGTGGAATTTGGATTGCTTTGGGGTTGAGGTTGATGGAGAGACTCTGAGAAAGAAGGCAGTCCAGAGGAGGAAAGGAAGTAAACAATGGCACAATGGTGTAGGCTTCGAACCCGTGGCCAGGACCCCATGGAAAGGGCCTGGAACCTGTCCGTGGCTTGTTGAGTGTCTGTGGAACAGACGTTGGAAAGGAAGGTTGGCCCCATTCACATGTGTCCCCGTTGCTTTAGCAAATGGTCTGGAAGAACCTAGCAAGTGCTCAGCCACCCTGGGAGCACAGTGAACTTAATTCATAGATTCACAGAATTTTAGATCTGGAGAGCTATTTGGTAGAAATCATGTTCGAATTCTCTAAGTAGTAGAACTAATTAAATAACTTTCCTATATGCCCTGAGCTAGTGACAGTTCATAGTAAACTCTTATCAAATATCAATTGCAATGAAATCATTAAGTGCTGCCCACAAGCCTATGAGAGTAGGTCCTATTAATATTCCCATTACACTAGGCACAGAGAGTTTAAATAGCTAGAGTGATATCATTGAATAAATGGCAAAACAAGATTTGTAAGCATCTGGATCCACATATCATGTGATCCAGGTTTCTTGATTCCAGAACTCAGAAAACTTGACTCTTATGTTATAGTTATTAGTCCCAGCTGCCTTCCTCTTCTAGTAATGTGATTTATTTTGCACAATGAATCATTGTGCCATGGCACTGAGGAAGGGTGGAGCAGAAGAAATAGAGCATGTTTTTAGAAAAAGCCACAGGTAAAAAGTTCTAGGTGCTGATTTATTTTTAAACTGTGGAGAAAATTCTCACCATTTTTTCTTCATTCCTATTACGTTTAGGCTGGTGAATGAATGACTCCTTGGGCAAATGTGGTTTTCGTTCTTAGTGGTTTTTCTGACTCTTCTGCAAACTGGTTCTGTTTATCACATTTGGTTTCTAGTGCCTAAATTCTACTTGGGTAAAAGCTACACCCAAGATACACAGGAAGATACGATGCCAACCTCAGAGGAGGGTATCTATTGTCAGACTCTGTTTTCAGAAACATTTTTGTCTCTATTTTGGCAAGCACATTTGCAGCTGCACAGCTGTGGTTTGCCCTGACAGCTCATTGTGAGACCAGAGCCTCAGAATCTGAGACTCTGAAAGGTGCTAAGATACCAGCTTTGGTTCACCCCTCCTTTCCAAGAATGATACAGTTTAACAAAAGTATCATTTATTTCATAAAACTAAACTCGTCACCAAACTAAACTCGTCACCATCTCCTCAAGTCATATCCTACCAAGGTCAGACATTTACACCTAATCTGCTTCCTTTCATGAGCTTTGATTTTCTCTGATTTGACATTCCATTTGAATATGTCACCTTGCACATTTCTGAGTCTCCCCTGTTCACATTCAGCATCCTTCACACATTTGTCCAATGTACCTGCAGACATTTGTCCACGTTGCATCAGTGGACCAGCAGCATGAGCACCACTGGCAACTGCTTAGAGATGCAGAACCCCAGACCCTGCAGACTCACTGAATCCATTTCCATTTTAATGCCACCTCCCTGGCACTGCATGGCTGCGCCAGTCCTCTTCCTGTGTGCCTTAAAATACTCTATACTTGTGTCCAGAATTTCCAGTGGAGAGCATTTCCTTGTGCCTTTTCTCAACATTAGCGAATATGTCCTTTGACTACTAACATTTTAATTTTGGCGATTGTTAAAGCTTCTTAGTTCATCTGAAAATTGCTTGCTTTTCTTTCAGAGTGGATGGCCCATACTAATCCGCCCTGTGTGAAAGAAAGCTCTGAAGATACTAAAGATAATTGGAAAATGACTTCAAATTCCTCCATGAAGAGCTTTGTGAGGTGGTGTCTCCTACATCACAGATGAAGTGTGTGTCCTACAGTGTATCTGGAAGGATGTCTACGTGATCAACAGCCCCTTCTGCTCCTGTTTTGCCCCAATCACTCCCACCCCTGACCCACAGTTGCTGTTTATATAGCTCAACTTATGCTATCTTTTCTGTAGCGAAACAAGACTGGGGTGGGGTGGGGACAGATAAATACATCTGATTGTGCTCGTTCCTGTCTCTTATTTCCTATTTCAATTCAATGTGGTACATGACAATACTTCTAAATACAGTGATAAGTTGATGCATTTTTCTTGCAGATCAAACTTTATCTCCCTGTTTTTTTGTATACTATTTTACAGAAAATTCCTAAAGTTGATGTTATCCTGCCCTTCCAATTTGGGGAATTAATCGGGTCTTGCTCAAGTTAGGAAAGTCCTGTCTGCTCTGTACTCCCCCTCTGTAAATAAAGGTCGTCTTGTAACTACCTTGGCCTTCCTGCCTTTTCCAGCCATCCCAAAGCTCAGTTGGCCAACCTCTGTGTGCAGCATCCATAAACACCAAATAAAATGAGAGAACGGAATAGGGCCCTGTACCATGTTTTAATTTTGGGTCTTGCTTTCTCTTCTTATTAGACCCACTCAGATTTTTTGAAGTCAGTGTTTTTCTTATGATTACTATATTGTTAATATAGAAACACAAATGTATGGCTAGCTGCAGGTAACATTGCTTTGGTATTATAAAGAAAATTAAAACAGGTAGAGGGATCCCTTGACTGGGCTAAATCCATCCCCTTCCCTTCCTCCAGATCTTGTACCTACTTGTGCTGTGGAGAGGGAGAGAGGCATGGGGTGGGGATTCAGACTCCACGTGGATCCTGTTTCTACCTTCACAGGGGCCATGGAGGTGATGCATTATCTCAGTGAACTGCAGAGTTACTTATGAAATGAGTATACCACTATCTTCCTCAAACAGTTGTTCTCCATATTAAATTTACCCAGAATATTAATTTTTATGAAATCAATAGGGTTCAAAGTGTAGGAGATCTGTAGACAGGAGAGGAATAGAATATAGTCTCATTAGGATTTCTGGAGAATCCTGACCAGAAAGAGTTAACATTTTTCTGGAGGAAGCAATTAATAAGAGAAGAGAGAGAAAAGAAGGGAAAGAGAGACAGAGAGAGATAGACATACTGAAAGAGAGAATAAGTAGATCATAGAGAAAGCTGAGTGTCTTACGTAAATAAACCCTTACTTCCAATAAAATACAGAAAAGACAAGTAGCCACTTAAAAGAAAGCTCTTATTTGGTATATAAACACACACACACATACATATGTACGTATCTCTACTCTAGGGTCACTACATTGTTGTTCTAGATAACATTTATTTCATAAAACTATTTAATCACTGACTTTAAGATGGCTTGTCTGTTAGGCTTACCAGCCTGTATATTCCAGACATAAGACCTAGACAAGGACAAGTGGGCAGGGTGAAAACAAAGTACACCAAATGAATGTGCACATCGACAATGGCACCCAGGTTAGGGTCTTAGGGCCCGGGATCCATTGATGACATTGATGACAATTCAGAGAGCCAATCAGATTGTGCCAAGTTCCAGGTATCAACCTGGTGGAAAAGAGTTCCCCAAAACACAATAAAAGGAAGCTGAGGACCAAGGTCCATGAGCATTTGCCTTTCCGATGCCTCATCTCAGGTACAGGACAGCTTTCTATCTTCTACTTCTCCTTCTTTTCAAATGAAGTATCTTCCTTCCTGAACTTGGTTCCTTTAATTCATTACTGGTGCCTGGTTTATGATCTCCACTGCTCAGACAGTGGAGCAACAGTATGGTGCACACTTCTGACACAATAAAGCACTAAAGAATTATCCATTCCTCTGGAAATGGTTATCATAGATCAATTTGCCTAGGGTACATATGGTCGCTTCCTGCAGAAACATTTTACTAAATTAAATCTAGTTGCATTGCTTCAGTTCCGACAGGAAAAATTTGCTAGCCAATTGCCACATAGTTCCTGTGTAACTACTGACTTTCCTGAGACTTGTCTCTATTTTTCAACACAGGCCTAAAACAGACCCAGATCTACTGAAAAATAGGTGGAGTAATAAAGGGCTTCATAGCTAACCATCCTATGAAAAATTAACAAAATTATCCTGTAGATAGCTGTGTTCTTCCCCCAATTTTTCTTTTCTCTGCCAGCTGAATTGTCTCTTCACTTCCCCTTTTGCCCAAAGTCCTAAATTTTTTTTCTTCACTTGGCAATTTAGTTCTTCTTTCTGTTCTAATGACCCCATGAACACACAGGGTGAAAATCTGCCCTCACCAAACAACCTACAGTCTGTGAGTTGGCACAGTGAAGCTGCTTAAAGAAGGAGATCTTTACTTCCTTAGGGTTCTGAGCTGGTGAGCGCTTGGAATTTTATGAGACACCTGTAGACCTCTCTATGTCACTCTAAAAAGCTGAAATTGAGTTTTACTCTGCAACTTGGTATGAAACTTGGTCTACATAACAGATCTGGCAGTGGTATGCCCAGTATTAATTGTTTTAATAGTAATAGAAGTCACAATAATAAAAATAGTGGAGTAATTTTCTAAAACAGAATGTCACCTTTAACTTACCTTAGAATTAGCATCCACTTATCTTGGTTGGAACCAAGTCTCTTTTGGGGAGAAAACTGCCTTTTCGTGCTAAGCCTCAAGATAAAGGTGAGACCATACAGTTGGCCAAAACTCAAGCAGCAGTGATGTGTAATTCAGGTGCTGTGTGTAAGAAAGTGTGGTGATGTTAGAGTGCTACTCTGAGGGCATGAGAGTAGCGAGTAGCTACTTTAAAAATAATTTACCATGTAATAACTTGTGGTTCTATTATTTACTTTATGAACATTTATTTCTTCGTAAAATAAAAAAATTTTAAAAAGTAGAGAGAGGAGAGCTATAAATGCGAGAAGCTGAAGAATGTGGTAGAGGCAATCATGGAAGACTAAAGCGGATGTTGGTAATATGACTCTCCAGCATTGCTTGAATCTTCTGAAAACATCCATGCATGCACAGGCCAGCACTCAGAGGCTCTGGAGGACAAGGGACTGTTACTTTAGACTGAAAAAATAGTTGTGAAAATGTAGCCAAGTTTTGTCCTATAGGCAGGTTGAGACAAAATAGTTTGGCAGAAAAAAATATTTATAAGAAAATCATTACAAAGGTAAACACGAAAATTAAGCTTTCCTGGAATTTTGAGCTTGCAGGACTTCTGTAACAATCACTATTTTCATTCATTTTTATCTCAATTTTAGGGGTTAGGGTTAGGTCTGAGTTGCATTTTTCACAGCATTTAACACTTGGGTGATATTATTCCTATTTAAAATTTTAGGAACCTGAGACTCCAAGATATTAAATAATTCTTCTAAATCTACATAGCTAACTAATCTCTGTATAGAGAGTGAATTGTGAGACAAGAAAAACAGCATACAGAGAAACAATGACCTAGGTAGTAAAAAGAATTTACCAACAGACAAGGAATGTAAAAAGACAAGCATTTATTTAGATTAAGGTAAAATATCAAGAGGCATTTTACCTTGATCTAAAGGAATGAATGAACAAATTTCTAGGACAAGAATCGCACAATCAGCATGACCCTTTGAGTTTTTTAAATAAAGATTTGAAGATATCAAAAAAAGATCTGGACAGCAAAAGTGATAATCTAAAGAATGTCTCTTCCTGGATCATTTAGCACTTTGTAGATCCTTTTATATTGTGTTTAAAATTATGCTTATAGTTGCAATTTTGACAAAACTTTTGACTCTGCTTATAGAAGGTCTTTGGCTTTAGATAAGAAGGTGATAAGATCTACATATACTCTTTAGAGAAGACGGGAAGGAATTCATTCCTCAATAGGAGGAATGAATGGTATGAGAGAGCTATGAGCAGAAGGTCTCTAACTTGTGTTCTTCTGTTGGTGTAACCTTTTGTTCCCAGTGGCAACCCCTATAAAGTGTTTAATAGGTAGAGGGAGTGTTGTGGTTAATCTAGGTTGTCAGTTTGATTGGCTTGAGGAAGCCTACGAGATTAGAAAAGTGGATGGGTCACTGGTGTGACCTGGTGGACTATATCTGGTTCCTGGCCCCTTCCACTCCAGTCCTTCCCCTCCTCTTCGTTTCCTGGCTACCACAAGGTAGAAAACTTTCATCTGTCATACTGTTCAAACATGATGTTCCTGCCTTGGCACCAGTTGGCCATGCACGGACTGAATTCTCTGGAACTGTGAGCCAAACAAACTTCTCCTTTAAGTTTCAGGAGTCAAATATCTTGCCCAGCAACAGAAACCTGACCAATTAAAAGAAGCAATATAAAAACAGCTGTGTGCCTGTCTAATGGTAAAGAGAGAAGGAAATGAAAATCGACTCAGAAGAGATTTGATTTCAAACACTCTTGCCAAAGTGGGCAATGAAAAGTATGTCACCATTTCCTATTAAAATCACCCTTGAATGCAATCAGAAGAGAGCAGACTGACCTCAGCATTCCTGGAATTGACTCCTTTATCAGGAGGAAAACAGGTTATCAAAAGAGCAGTTAAATGATAAATGACAATAATAAACATGTTTGTTTCGAAGACAGCATAAGGAATGGGATAGTGGCTTTCCATTAACCAACTAAAGATTCACTAAAAATGTATGATTGTAAGAAATGTTATCAGGACCTATGGACTCACAAGGATAGAGATGCTGCCCCAAGAGTATCTGGAAATGTGTGCAAGATAGATTACTATACTACTAGTCTCTGCCAGTCCATCAAAAAGAAGAGTGTGCTGTCATTGTTTGATTGCTTGATCATTTTTGTGCCTAGATCTTGTAACCTGAACAACTATTTCTAAAATAACAATACGCAGCTGGGTGTGGTGGCTCATGCCTGTAATCCCAGTAGTCCGGAGGCTGAGGTACGAGGATGGTTGCGAAAGTGAGTTCAAGGCCAGCCTGAACTGCATAGAGACTCTGTCTCAAAAAAAAGACAAAAAAAAAAAAAAAAAAAAAAAAAAAGATAACAATATGCAATACATTAACATTGGCTTCTTACTGTTTTTTTAAATTCTGTATTATTTCTATCATTTTTTCTTTTTTGCTTTTTAAAATAAAAAAAAAAAAAAACAGTGTCTGGAGCAGGGAGGAAAGCAAACATCTGTACATCCAAGCCAAGGCAGTGTGCACAACAGCCATGACCACATGTCAAAGGACAGCAGAATTCAGAGACAAAATTAGATCCTAGATTAGGTTTAAGTTAAAACCATGGAAAGAGACGACTCTCTGAGATAAAGTCTTTGAAGTCAGAAAGATCAGACAGATGACATTAGAGAAACAAGATAAAATGACAGAATAGGTTTAAACGACAGACTAAAGCTTGTGAGGCTTATACTATAGTTTTTGGAAACACTTTGAGCAAGAGAAACAGGATCACAACAGCATTCTGGGAAGTTTAA